TATAAATAATGTCACAATTTCTAAGCGGGACCTTTTGCGCGAAAAAATTGGCGTATCAAAACATTGGTTGTACGTATTGGCATTGCGCGATTGAAAGGCGCGTGATTAGAGATGGCGAGAGATGTTATTCTCCGTAATAAAGGGAAACACCCTGCCCGGCCTGCCCGGGATGATGTCTTCATCCGCTGCAGCCGGGTGGGAGTGGAAGGGGGGGGGGAGGGGGGATACCCGTCGGCGTTTGATCGGACCGCACACCACAGCCAAAGGTAGACTTTAATAATGTAATTTTAATGGGTGTGGCAGGGATGTCGTAGTCGCAGTTACTGTCGTATTGCAGTCAGGTTCTTCCTTCGCACGATTTCCTCGTCGCAGTAAGTCCGCGAAAAATTCTCCCTTGACGAAAAATGAGGATGTACTACTTCCCTGCCATAACTTGATGAAATTTAAAATACAAAATAGCCTCTGGTAACCATGACTTGAGAGCGCTTTGAATAAGTTACTAATGGTTACATCATGCAACTACGTGAATAAGCCGAAAATATAGTTCATTCGCTAAATGTAGACACACCGGCACTCAAAGGAAATCGAAACAATCGCTGGCCCTTCTTTGTCGCCCTCATAAACGGCCTGGTTACGCTCATTACGAGGGTCGATCCCTCGGCCTAGAGTTGCCGAAGACACCCGCGCCTGCTTCGCCCGCCTCCGCTCTCCCCATGAAAAGATGTTGGCAGGTCTAGCCAGGGGTCGGGCGGGGGCCGGGGACCGGGCTCCACGCATCGTAATGACGCTTACAATGGGGCCTCGGGTTTAGAGGGATGCCGGTGTGTCTACATTTAGCGAATGAACTATACATTATTTAGAGTGCCCGTTATCAGATTTATTTTTTTTCGGCGTTTGCAATGAGCAAAATATTACCACAACCACCACCACCACCACTACGCTAACAACCACTACCTCCTATCCACTCACTGTTTTAGAGAGCTCTATTTTTGTTTTTGTGGACGCTATTGGCCGTGTTCTGAACGCCTGGCTCGCTCTCTTGCAGGGCTCGGGCTGCCGCCGGACTACCTGGGATCGTTGCAGCCTCCCCCCTCCACCTTGGCCAGCTCCGAGTTCCCGTTCTCCATCGACGGTGAGTAGTATAACACAATGAGGATGACCGCCCTGAGCTTGCGAGGTGCATTTCAGGAAGGCATGACCAAAAAAAGACAGTTTTTCTTTTTTTACGTGTTTAAAAGTCGTGGTAAAACTATCCCCATATAGGCAGGACTGCTTTACCCTCTGTTTAAAGCATAGTGCTGCATAGAATACAAAACTTTTAATAACCCTTAGTGATGAATATGAGAGGAAAAATATATCTTTAAAGTCGCAGCAAGCTATATCGTCGCACTATTATACCTTAATTTAACTCTTACAAGACACATCGACAGACGGGGGAGCGGGGAGATCTAGTGCGAAAAGGGGGTCTGTCTTCCACAGGGGGTGGCGTACTTTGTGCACGCCCCCCGAGGCGATGACTGCGGCCGCGGGCCTGCACGTACTGGTGCACGGACTGCACACACTTTGTGCACGCCCCCCGAGGCGATGCACTGGGACTGCTGCACGACGGACAAAGACATGCGGACGCGTCGGCTGGGGATGAGGACCTTACCGCTGTGGAATGGTAATCCCCGGGTGAGTCGTACGGAGAGCTTTGCGGGGGCGTCCTCCGCAACGGTCCGCAACTCGCAAAAAAATAGGGAGAGAAAACAGAGATTAAACTATTGCAGAAAATAGTCTGCCCGGGTGGCTAGTGCTAGGGATGACTGGTGGGCTACACGGACATGAGCCCGCCTGGAGTGCCTCGTGATAACCCTTTTTAAAGTTGAAGAAGAAGTCTGCTTTTGGCAGGCCCACAGTGGTTCGGGCTCAACTCCAGGCGGGCTCATGTTCGTATAGCCGACTGGTGGTGTCCAGGCCCCGTACTGTTATTTGGTCATACTGTACCGTATTCAGGCGTGCGGGCGGGTTGCCTACCTGCTCTGGAACGACGACGGTAGGCAATCCCGCCCGCACGCCTTCATACGGTACAGCACGTACAGCTAAGTAATACGAGGCCTCCTATTGGACGGCTATATCGCCTTTACTCGACTGTTGTGAAGGAAAACTATCCCCGAATACAAATTGCAGTGTACTGCGACTCTTTGGCACGTCACCGTTGCTGCTTGACCTGACAGGCCCGCTTACCCAGCTGAGGGGGATGAGTTGGAGGATCTCCCGTCCTCGTCCCTCTCCAGGGCCCCTTGTGCAGACAGGTGTGGCAGGGAAGTAAAGTGCGACAGAGACGCACGCTCTACCCTGCCAGAATAAAACGGGGGAAAAGGAGAGGCCTGGGCTCTGCCGGTTCCGGGAACGGTGCTGACACTAAACCCCTGGCTACGGTGCGGGGGCTTCAGAGGGCCCCGTCCTGGCCCCGTCCCCGGCCCGCCTGCTCGCCGGGGCCCCAGGACCCCGCTGCGACCCACAGACCCACGCACGCACCCCCGACGGCGTTTTATTTTTCCTAGGCAAAAGTCGTCGTTGCACTTTATTTTTCAATATAAAAAATAAACGACAAATGGGGGTGGGGTGGTGAGGAGGTGGAGCTATATGTGTGTGTGTTAGTCGGAACCAGTAGCCTCTCGTGCTTCCTAGAACAAACAACGTTATTGTCGCAGGCTAGCTGTCAGGTTTACCGAGGAGAGGACCGTTCATGTGGGAGGAGGCGGGTCCATGGCGGGGGTGCGTATTTTTATCAGGGCCATCTGGTGCGCGTGTGTTTGTGCGCGCGCGCGCGCGTTTGTGTCCGAGAGGAAAAGCCGTAGGATACTGAATCCTGCAGGGCGCTCCAGATTAGCATGGGTTTGTTTCATGACGCCCCCTGCTGTCCTGGCGCAGGAGAAGTCCTCCCTCACACACACACACACACACACACACACACACACACTCGCATGCATGAACCAACACACACGCCGCCCTAACCTCAAAGGAGCCGTACGGATAGCGTGGTGTGGTTTTGCAGGGGCCTTCAGGCGGAACTAATACACCCGGCTCTCTCTCTGCTCAGGAGCGACACCGGGGGGAGGGGGGGGGGGCAATGGGCAATTAGGTTAGGTTTGTCCGCTTAGCCGGATCACAAGGGAGCCGCCCGCATGAATACAGTAGCAGCAGTGTGCGCGGCGGCGCTTCATACCCCCGCGGGACACAACGCAGAGGAATGAGCACAAAAAGAAATTGGGCTCATCTGCGCTTGTGGTCGGAAACGTCGATACTACTGTGCCCCCGTTCCCCCTTGCCACTGCTGCCACGCACCCTCAAGTTGAAGGGCAAATTTTGCAAATTTTTAGCGCGTGCTCTAAGAGAGTTTCTGTTTTCCAGGATCTCGGCTGGCGAGTCCGCGGCCGGGAAGCCTCAGGCAAAGCCGCAAGAGGGCGCTGTCCTCTTCACCCTACTCGGACTCGTTCGACATCAACTCGATGATCCGGTTCTCCCCCAACTCCCTCGTCTCCATCGCCCATGGCTCCAGATCCTCGTCCGCCAGCGGCTCCTACGGCCACCTCTCTGCCGGTAAGACATGGTCCGACTCGGATCCTCACTGCGTGGCCTATCGACGCATGCACCTCCTACGTGGACTACGGGTTTGGGGGTACAAACATTATGGCCCCCTATTAGGTTCAGGATCACCATTGGAGTTCGTAGAGACCCCATGATATCTGTACCCCGGGGTGCAAATATTAGGGGGTCATGTGGATTTCAATGGTGGCCCTGACCCTTTCAGGGCCCCATAATATCTGTACCTCCTTCCCACGTTCCCTCTGCCCATCCCGCCCAGGGCTGAAGCGTACGATGGGTTGCCTGCCGGGCCGGCGCTGAGCTACACACGCGGAGCTCACCACCCAGTTTATGTTGCAGGTGCCATCAGCCCCGCGCTCTCCATGCACCCGGGCATGGCGCCGCACCTGCAGCAGCTGCAGGAGCACCTGCTGCGGGCCAGCTCCGGGCGCTTCCAGCCGCTGCTGCCCCTGCAGGGCCTCCACCCTGGCTCGCCCTTCGGCCTGCCGCCGCACCACCTGGCCGCCCACTTTGCTGCGCACAAGGCTGACGTGAGTACCTCAGATTTCCTCTCCCGAATGAAGAGCTCACTTGTGTCGCCCTCATGACTAACTGACTGGACCCTCGCGCTCTTGCAGATGCAGCTGCAGCTGGACAAGAAGCTCGAGTCCCCGCCCGTCGCCGGCAGCGTGACTGCCGAGGCGGACACCAGCGCCTCGGGCTCGACGCCCCGCAAGGCGCACCGCATCAAGAGGGAGTCCGGGTCCGGGGCGAGCGGCGGCGGCGGCGGCGGCGCGTCGGCCCTGGCGCTCACGCAGCACAAGAACCACCCGTCCCCGGGGGGCGCCGAGTGCAACGACGAGCCCGCCGACGACTTCGTCGAGACGGTCTGTCACTGGAAGGAGTGCAACGCCGGAGACTTCCTCAGTCAGGACGAGCTGGTCAAGGTGAGCTTTCAACCAACCCTATCTCGGGATCTTAAAGGACCGAAATATTTGTAATAGTAATTTATCTGCTGCTGTTGTCGTTGCTGATTAGAAAGCGAGTATTTATATGACGTGTTTGTTATGTTTGCAGCACATAAATAGTGATCACATCCATGCCAACAAAAAGACATTTGTGTGCCGGTGGGAAGAATGCTCAAGAGACGAAAAACCATTCAAGGCCCAGTACATGCTAGTAGTTCACATGAGAAGGCATACAGGAGAGAAGCCCCACAAGTGCACGGTAAGAGTCTTGCCTTGTCGTATCAATTTATACATTTTTTGAAGTTTTGCGCTAGATTAATTACGGAAAGTCCAAATGCTAATTTTACTTTATTTCTTGCAGTTTGAAGGTTGCTACAAGGCTTACTCACGATTAGAAAATCTTAAAACTCATCTTAGATCTCATACCGGTGAAAAGCCCTACATGTGCGAATTCCCAGGATGTAGTAAGGCATTTAGCAACGCCTCAGATCGAGCAAAACACCAAAACAGGACACATTCAAATGAGGTACGTCTTGACCTGATTATGCTCGTCTTATTTCTCTGTCTCACTCCATCTATCTGCCTCTATCTGCCTCCTCCGCCTCCTAACTTTCATCTTCTCTTTCCGTTGCAAGCATTATGGAGGGATAGATTGCTGAGGTAAGAAACCCTCCAGCGCCCGCCTTGCTCTCGCCTTTCTAGAGTCACGTTACTCAGTGAATGTTTTTTCCAACAATTTCAATAACATTTTACTATACCTCCTATTTGATCGCTAGACGGTCTCGTGATGTGTCACCCGATGCAGACTTTCGCCTGACCCTGTCCCCCCACTGACGTACTGCCTATGATTTCAGAAACCCTACATCTGCAAGGCGCCTGGCTGCACCAAAAGGTACACGGATCCCAGCTCGCTCCGGAAGCACGTCAAAACAGTCCACGGCGCCGAGTTCTACGCCAACAAGAAGCACAAGGGCGCGGGCGACATGGGCGACGACGGGGTGGGTGGCATGTCGGCCCTCAGCCCCAGCCGGTCCGAGGACTTGCTCAGCGGCAAGACGGCGTCCATGTCCAGCCCCAGCGTCAAGTCGGAGGAGGCCAACTCCCCCGGGCAGCAAGGCAGCCCCATGGACCACGGCATGCAGTGCGCGGGCGACGGCGACTGCAACGTGTCCACGTCCACGGCCAACAACAACCAGGCCAGCATCAACGCCGCCAACCGAGCCGCGGCCCTGGCGCTCGCCGAGGCGGACGAGTGGGCCGAGGCGGACGAGCTGGACCTGCCGGCGCTCCCCGTCACGCTGCGGCAGGCCGTCGGGCTTGGACCTGGGGGCGACGGCGTGGCCGAGGTGGGCGTCGACCGCAACGCGAGGAACCGCTTCAAGTCGCGGCTGCACGCCAAGGGGCTGGGCTCTCCCCGGCACCACGGCGGCGGCGGCGTCATCGGCGAGATCAACCGACGCATCGGCGACCTCAAGGTGGAGGGCTCCACCACGACCAACACCACCACGACGGGCAACGGCGCGCAGCACATCATGGACCTCCACGCGAGGCTGGCGCCGCCGGGCACCACCACCACCGCCCTCCCGGACAACAGGAGGGACTCCAACTCAACCGTCAGCACGTACTACGGCAGCATGCGTAGCGCGGATCTGGGCTCGAGTCGGAGAAGTAGTGGGGTAAGTTAGCAACCGGCTGGTGACCATCTTGAGATCACGTTGGCGCCAGCAAAACGCGCAATTTGTCGCATGTCATAATGACTCACAATGCTAACCCTCGTGTCCTCCCCCGCAGGTGTCCGCCGTGTCCTCCCACCACCCTCGCGTCCTGGCCACACCCGGCTCTCTGTACGACCCCATCTCCGCCGGAAGTTCGAGGCGTTCGTCGCAGCAGAGTGCCTCGTGCGCGTCGACGGCCACCCCCAGGCACGGGCCCACGCTCGGCCAGGGCCACGGTCAGGCGCACGGCCTAGGACACGGCCATCCGCACGGCGCACCCGGGCAGCACCATGATCTCTACTCCACGTCCAACCTCGTCCTGCAGGTGAGTGGCCGTCCCGGGGAAGGCCCGCACCCGAGGTGTCGTTGTTTCCACACCGTCCTCACCGCGCCCTCTTTCCCGCAGACGCAGAACATGTCGCTGCAGCAGACGGCGGCCATGGCGTGGAGCCCGGTGCCGCACGGGCCGCACGGCGCCCCCGCGCCCGCCTGCGCCCCCCAGCACGGTGCGCACGGGGACGGGCGCCGCATGTCGGAGCCCTGCCGCGTGGGTCTGGCCGCGCCGGACCTGCACCAGCAGCAGCCCCCCAGGCCGCACAGCACCATGTGCCTGCCGCTGCCGCTGCCGCTCGGCATGGCCAAGCAGGAGCTGCACCCCAACCAGGAGGTGGCGCTCGAGGAGGTCGGCGAGGGCGAGATGCTGGAGAGCAAGCTCGTCATCCCCGACGAGATGCTGCAGTACCTCAACCAGGTCAGTAGCGACGACGTCGTGGTTGACTTTCATCGTCCAAGCTGTCTTGCACGAGCGCTAACGGGGCCCGTCCTTCACGTTACAGGTTGCCGACGTCCCGCACTTCAAGAGCGAGGAGCAGTCGAGCTGCGGCTACAGCGCGCACCCTGCGACCGGTCCCCACCATCACCATCACCACCACCACCAGCCCCAGCAGCGGCCCGTGTACGGGCAGGGGAACCCCCAGGGGCACCCCCAGGGCCCTCCGCAGGGCCACCCTCTGACACACCCGCAGGGCCACCACCAACAGGCCGTGGGTTACCCGCGGAGCATGCCCAGCCCTGGGCCGGCGATGTGCGGCGTGGGCCAGGGCCAGTGCCAGTGCTCGAGCCACGCGCCCAACGCCAGCATGGGCATGCCCAGCCCCCAGCACCCGCAGCCCGTGCCCAGCCCTATGTCGTGCGCGTCCGTGCCCAGCCCCATGTCGCACTGCACCGCGCACAGCGCCGCGCACAGCGCCGCGCACTGCCTGCCCAGCCCGCAGCCCGCCGCCCCCAACCAGTGCGGGAGCTACATCCACCCGCGGAGCCCCGCGCGGCCGCCGCAGCAGGACGGCTACATGCAGTACCACCACCACCACCAGCACCACCACCCCGCCCCCGCGCCCGCGCGAGTGGGTGCCTGCGCCGGCCCGCAGTTCATGTCAGAGCAGCCCATGACCAGCCCCGCCGCGGGCGCCCCGGCGCCGCCCTTCGCGCAGCCCATGCAGTCCATGACTGCGCGCAGCAGCAGCGCCAACAGCAACACCTGCTACGCGCCGTGCAACGGCAACACCCAGCCGCACACGCACTCGCCGTGCAGCAGCCAGGTGATAGCGCCCAGCCCTGCGCCCGTGCACCACCAGCCGCACCACCAGGGCCACCACCAGGGCCACCACCAGCCGCACCACCACGGCGGCTACTACTGCGGCCCGCAGCCCCCGCAGCCGCAGGTGCAGCCGCAGATGCAGCCGTGCGGCACCGCGGCGTACGGCGGCTACCACGGCCACCAGCACGCTCACGGCGCGCAGGGCTGCAGCGGCTGTGCCCACCAGCAGCCGCAGTACCATCACCACCAGCAGCAGCCGCCGCCGCAACAGCCGCAGCACGCCTGCGCCAACCCTTGCGCCTGCGCACCCGGCGGACCCTCGGGGGCACCCCACGGCCCGACCCAGGGCCAGACGGAGATCCAGTGCCAGGACATCAGCCAGTCCACGCCGCGACAGAAGGCGGCGGCGGCGGCCCACCCCCAACCC